GTATTCATTGTAATTGTGTAGTTACACGTATTTGAATCCCGATTCACGTACATGTACTAATTCCCCCTCCCCCGTGTCATTTAATTAAAACAAATAATTGCCATCTTCTTAACACACTAGCCAGTGGAAAAATGTTATTTAGCATGAATTGGAGTGGTGATATGGTTCGGTCGTGACAGTTCATAGCATGGACTGATTACAACATACTGTTGTGTATCATTCGGTGTTGTTGACAGGCACATTTACTGTGAGAGACAGCTAGGGTGCCACTCACGACAAATGGATTATCACTGATTGGCTAATTCAATGTATTACCAGAGAGTTCAGTGTGGTCCACTTCTCTTTATTCGGGCGGGGCAGACAGTCAGCACAATTTACTGCTCCGGGTATCATAAATTCAATCAATTACGCATTGCCGCTTTTGTGCACTAAATTTAGAGTGTCCTATTTGACCAGGGGACGTTACCCCCAGTGCAGTTCGGCGAAACAACGCCGGTGTGTATATTCGAATTGTACGCAGCTTGGCAGTGAACAAAACCATACTAACAAAAAATGTGCAATCTAATATTTAAGAAACTACTCGACACTATAAACGGGCAATTTAAATACGGGTAAACTAATTTTTTAAGCTTTTGAAGCAAATTGGTTATCCAATCAGACAACAATGTCTTTAAAGGCTTCACGTGAATTCGCAAACTGATTATCCAATCAGAATCACACTTTTGGCGTGCACCACATGTACTCACAACATGCAATCAGAAACGATGTTCGAGATGCCATGGTGATTATACGTTGGTGTTGGAATATTTTCCAATGGTTTTAACTGTTTCAGATAGTAACTGTTGATATTCAGAAAATCCCACTCTCCGCCCTGTGATCGGAATTTTTTTTACGACAAACGAAAATCGTGTTCGATCCCAGCCATGCAGATCTCATGATATTGAGTTGTCGATGTTATGGCGATCGTAAGTATGTACGTGCTGGTCGGTTTCACGTGTCATTGTATAGAAACAACGCACGATTTGCACCAATCGTCACTCGTTTCCGTAAACGTCTTTTTGTTATCAAAAGATACTCAATCACTGCCCAGGCACCTTATACCTCCGAGAGAAACCGTATGCGGGATTTCAGACCACTAAAAGGAAGGGGTATGAGGTTTGATTGGCGACAATTCGTGCTTGAACTTAGGGTGAAACAGCCTGTCCCGTGAGTATCCGTTAATTATCAGTGTTTCATTTCACAGAACCTAAAATATTTGAACTGTTCCGTTTGATATGCAGTATATGACACAAAATGGATTTTATAAGATGAATGTCGTATTGTTCAGTTTGCTCAAGGTCGCGGCTAATACGTCGTTTGAAGTTTGTAAAGTTGGGTACACACACTGAGACTTCTGCGTATTACTAAAATATGTAACAACTTGATCCTAGTCGGTTAATTGGCGTATCGACATGCCTTAAACATCCCGGCAAATATCACGAATTTCACACATGCATAACCCCTCTCATTTTATAATTACCGTTTTATATATATACACGGAATTCGTTGACCTGGACTCGGATGTGGTGTCGTCGCGATACGAATGGTCCGCTCAGGCTGACCGTGAGCTCTGATTCATGCGCGGTTCTCATTGACAGCCTCGAGAAACTGCGCTGACGTGTTGCGTTGACGCGGTGCCAACATGTACGCCGCAAATACTAGTAGTATACCCTACCTATTAGCAATTATGTATGTTATTCACGTTTTTTAACAACCTGTCATGTTTATTTAGAAAGCAAAAATCACAATTGCGATGCAAACCCATAATCATTTTCTCTTTTCAGTGGTCAGTGGTTCGAGTCGACGCCGGGTTCGAATTTCGTGTAAACAAACATTGCTCGCGTTGTATACGTCGCATTGGGACCGACGTCACGTGGCGACGATGATAGCAACCGTGCGTATGTATACATTTGCCAGAGAGATATGCTAATTGGTTTTATTGAAATTAGTGAGTTATATGATATGAACATTTTAGTTCTATGTTTATGAAATTTGTTGGAATTACACACTTATTGTTGCCTGGCTTCGACATTTTTTCAAGCTACAGAGAAACTGTTTCAATCCTGGTTTAGCACAGATTGCGTGTTTGCAGTTACGTATTTTTTGTTATTGTTTTTTGTTTTTGTGAGCACCTTTTTTCACTACATCTGTTTAGTGTGTAATGATTGGCTGTGTGGTGATTGGTGCGCAGTGATTGGTATTCGGTGATCGGTGTACGATAGATAATTGGTGTGCGATGATCGACTGCGCGATGATTGGCGTGCGGTGATCGACTGCGCGATTATTGGTGTGCGGTGATTGGCTGTGCGTTGATTGGCGTGTGGTGATTGGCTTCGCTAATATTTGGCTATGTGGTGATTGGATGTGCGATGATTGGCTGTTCAATGATTGCCTGTGTGAAGAATCGGCAACAGGCGTCATGTGCTGGCGAGCCAGATGATATTAAATACCATTATGTAATAATATACTAACGAGTATATTTTACATTCAGCAAATATGACAAACTATCTGCTAGACGTATTAAATAACCAAGAAATTCATTATTAAATTAATTCGTTGTATGCTTGTAACTTCTGTGCGTGTGTGTGTCCAGAAGAGGGATGATGACGTTTAAATACCTTTATATTTAGCGCCTAACAGTGACTATGGGACCTCAGAACAAACTTTTCTTACATGATAAATGTCACGATATAACCTTGGGTCGTAAGAAAAAAAAATCAGGAAAGATGTGCCACCTCCAATTGAGTTTCCATGTCGTACTATTCTGGGTCCGCTGATGTCACATATGACGTAGCTCTCCATGTCTCTACGGGATATTAGTATGTATACATAGAGACTGGTCATATACGAGCTTAATTGGTCTATACGTGGCTTCTGCCAGAGTTCGCCAATTAAATGTTTTCTATTTCACCCACGGTATAGCTGGAGGTTCACGTTTCTATAATATATTTTAACAAACAAACAGCATAATATTTACACTGTACTTATAGAGAGAGAACAAAAATTGGGTCAATGGGATGAGATTATGCATACAGATTGACGAATTCGTATGGAAAAGTATACTTTTGTCACATTGAAAGCGAACGCCGAGGGATTATTATTTAATCTCCCCCTCTTCGTTGTCAATACTCGATATTTTTAAGTGATATACGGCGGTATAATTGGGAATTTTAAGATGAATAATTCATAGCTAACCAATCGTGATGCGAATTATTTTATTATTTGTGTTCTCCAACTATTGCTTTTCCGACTCACTAGCTGGAATAATTGCAAGCAATATTGCGTTGCTTTTGTCGTAAAAAAAAGATATTCATCTGTCACATCATTCCACACTGAAATTGGACTGTGAAAATGTAAAAAAAAAAAAATGCCTAAAAAGTAGAGGCTTGAAGGTAAAAATTTAGTTGAAGACTCGGGCATATCACATTAAATTTACAAAATGACAACAAAAGACAAATTAATAAGATAATCGACATGCACTCATGTCCCGTGATTTCCTGGCGCGATCCCAGGGATTTAATTACTTCTTCCCCTTTAAGAAACAAACGAATACACATTGCGAGTAGTCACATAACAGAATGTGTGGGAATATGATTTGTTGTTTTCAGATGGCCAATTGAGACACTCGTATAATATGTTCCGGACAGCCCGTACCTCATCAATGTGCGTGGGCCATTACAAGACGTATCCACTTTTTTTTGTAGAGACCTCTTAGCGTTGTGTTCTTCTTTCCAGATTTATTCCCTTCTTTACGATTGGTTCAACGAATGCTTACATCACAACGTTACCACGACAACAGATCAAGATCATTTCGTTAATCTTAGTGGCGTGCACAGGGTATTATCTCCAGGGTCTGTGTGTGTTTTCCCTACTCATCATCGCCAATTTGAAAGTCGGTGAGTCGCGATTACCGTATTACCATGACGACCTCTCTGCGTGCTCCCGAACGACGCGGAAGATGATCTGACGTGCATTATTCCTCGTGCCACACCAACGAGCAAGCAATTCTCGTGAGCGCCCTCTTAGGCAAGCAGGTGTCTTTGCGGGGCGCCTTGCATCGTAAATTCAGTGCCTGCAAGGCCGGGACTCGGCGCATGATTAGCGCCTGGCTGCGAACAAGCTGCCATGTTCTCGCCGGGCAGTACGCCTAAGTAAACCGTGTAGTAAACATATGCATTATAGCAATATTAACTGCAAGAAATGTGATATAAGGAAAACAACAACAAATTATCACGCAATTATTACAAATAATTAACGAATGCGTTTGTTTTAATGCGAGCTGTGTAATTTTAGTGAGTGATGTAAGTAAATAGTGAAATATGATTTATATCTCATATATACTGTGCAAGGAGAGTCGGATGGCATTCGGCTACTGTCGGAAATACTGTGTGGAATATCAGACGATGTGCAGAAATATTTTAATATAGGTCGAGTTACGGCGGCTGCCCTAATTGTTGGTAATTATGTGTATCGGGCATAGTCTTATTTAATTTTTTGTCGCATTTGCGGGCTCTCGTATCCGTCTGCTTTGCTTGGTTCATTTTGACAAGGTCGATATTTGCATAATGCCCGAGCGCCGACGTTCCACTCGGAACATGAATATACAGACCCCTGCGTGAGCACGGAAAGCAGTGCATTCATTTCGCCAAGATCATTATGATCTAACAAAAGGGAGTCGATCAGCCAATAGCAGGGCGTCTTTTATCGTGCATTGGTTGAGTAGCTTATCGTGTTTCTGTTCGCTTTACAGTTGCTACATAGCTCGAGAAGGCCACACTCCTGCGACGACTACTGTGCGTGTACTGACTGCTTGGTACTACGTTGGACGTTAAAATCGACTCCTAACCGGTGCCCCATCAGGTGAGGGGAAATGACACACAAGGAGCTCGGTGCTCCTTACTCAGATCTACGAAACAATACACTCAATTGTTTGCACTGTCTCAACAACTGTAATTTTTCCTGTGTGACGCGTGTTTTTCATTGAATACATGACTACTTCAGCCTTGGAACTGTCTGCTGAAACTGGTGTGCTTACGGCGGTTGCCTCCGCGGTATTCCCACATTTAACGTGACAACAGAGAGGCATCTTCCAACGGGCGCTCTCGAATATATAAAGTGACAGGAGAATAATCGACAATGTACACCTTAAAGATTTTAGGTTTTTTAATTTATTTGCTGGTGAATATTTCTGCAGTTGTGTCGGTCAGCGGTTCCAAGTCGTATGTGTGCCCGACACACTGTACATGTACGAACGAAGAGATAGTTTGCCAGGAGAAAGATACGATGTCTTACATCCCGGATATTAGGTCGAGCTCGGTCACTGAAGTGTAAGTACTTTTATAATATCTATTCGTGAATATTTCGTCCTAATTAGTGGCAAATCAATGTTGTTAATTTGTAGCGGCGGCCATTTACAGTACAGCTAAATGCGAGTGTGACGGAAAAGCGCCGTTAAGTCCCTCCCTGAGATATGATGTCGTCGCTGCAGTAGAACAGCTCCTATGTTAGTGGGACAGTGCTGTTTTGAACCTGTGCTTCTGCGTTCGTACTTGGCAGCGACTAACAAAAAAAAACTGAGCCCAGCAAAGCTCCCTATTATAATACAGAGCAGCTTTAACAATTCTGGTATCGTAGCTTTGTTTACAGAGATGCCCCCGACTATGAAACTGTGTTCAATCAACGAACAGTGCGCTTTTCAGTGTTGTATAGTATGCTTGGGTGAGCACCGAAGCGTCCGTTCAAACGTGGAACATATACACCAACGACAAGTCACCTCCAGTGCAAATGCAAATAAATTAATGACATTTGTTTTACTGAGGAGCCGGGAATAATTTTACAGAACTCGAGAAGTTCGGTAGAACTCCTTCCGTGTTGTATAATCATACGTATTACGGCTGTATGGACGGAATTGAGGCGGGGGGGGGATACTTTCTCCATATAATTATTTCTGATGTGACTATCTGTTATCAACATCTACATCTACCTCATTTAATATAAACTCTCCACCCGTTAGCGGCAGCAATTATTGGGTTATTTGGTGTTTCTCGCTTGCTGTTGTCGTGCGTCCGACAGTGTGTTCATGTAAATATAGGAACGACGTCGGAGTGTTGATTGAAACGCGCATTTGCAAGTCACGGATAATTGCGCGAATTTGAGATGTGATGCGACACACAACACGCGAGTGAATTTACGAAAGCGTTTAAGAATTGACAGGGGAAAACAACAAGCAAAATGGATGGCACCGGCTCTGATCCCGGTTACTAGGCAACCGCAACTGTTCATTTTCATCCCATTTTTATGGGGTTAATTGCGCAAGGAGCTGTTTGTCTGTTTCATTGGTGAAATTTGTTTTTAAAAGACGTTTTCATGTTCATGCCATTTAGCGCAACCCAATCCAGGCACTGCATTATTCGGCACTCTTCACAACTCGTGGTGGAATTTCATATTAAGCGGAATTATGCCGATTGTACTTATTAAGTATTTGGATCAAATTAAAATGTATACGCCGTGTTCTTCCAAGGTCAGCGATATGCGACGCTTCGTTTCATTGACCAGCGCCGTGTTACATCGACTGTACACGTACACAGCGGGAGACAACTTACAAAAATAGCAGTATTCGCTGGCACAAGCTGGATCAAGTCTCTCATTTTCTCCCTATCCACAACCACCCACGTGCAGTTAGGCGAGTCACGTTCTATTGTCACCCACTCCATAGTGTTGAAATCGCAATGAATTGTTTAATGTGTAAAACCATTACTTTTTTTTTTTCAACTCCATGGTAACACATCTACAAAATGAACACATTTCTCAGTACTATTGCCCTGTTCGTCATTTCATTAAAACTGTTATTATATCATTAACGTGGAACGGTCTCAGACTCAAACCACCGTTTAGAATACCGTGACCATGGTGGTAACGACCGCTCTTTATCTCTATGTACGTGCTCGACTCGGCCTTGCAGATGAGTATTGTTGTCACCTATTTTTCTTGCGATTATGTTAATGTGAAATTATTTATACAAATAATTAGAATCAATAAATACCACCGTTAACATGCCCCCCCTTCACCATTCAATTTTGCTTCTCCGCTGTGATTTTGAGCGATCCTGAATATCACCACTTATAAATAAATCGCGAAATTTAAACCAGACGAAAACGACTTCACTTTGGCCTGGCAAAGTATTTTCCGTTGTGTACTGAATACTAAGAACTCTTTGCACGTCCTCATAATCCCGAGTTAAAATCCTGAGCCATCTTGATCAGCATGTATAGCAATACTCTATTCTTGCAATGACGTCACTAGTTGACGTCATGAAACATCCATATACGCATTAGGCAGGTATCACCGGCAACCGAGTTCAGCACCGACATCGATGTACAGATTGCTCTAAATATATTTCCCACTCGTCCATTTTCGCTCTGTTTTACGCAGTTTTGCACTCTATCAAATTTCCCAGTCTGCGCTGTTTTAAAACTCGCTGCTTCGCTTGAATACTTGAAGGACTAAAATCGGTCAAAGTTCGACGACCTCGCGTAACACGTAGTTTATTTTGAATAGGCGATACGCCCGAGTCAAGTGTTCTGCTTCGCCTTTTAAATAAAACATGTTTACTTTAACTGGGTTTCTCCTCAATTTTCAGCAACATGTGAAAATAGCTGCAAACAACATGCGTCGTCAGCACCTGTGAGCCTAAGGTAAAACGCCGTTAAACAAGGCACCGTTAAAATGGCGTAACTCTGTCAACGCTTTATCAATATGTCTCCAATTCAACAATCTCGAATTAACATGTTTTTCTACCTCAGATGCTGGGTTGTCTGTTACGTAACAGACAGTGTGGCCTTGCATAATCCATTTATTAATGCCCGCATGCATGGCTTTTACAAACTAACTACAAATGATTTTAAAGGTTTTTTTTTTTCAATTCAATTGGTCATCGACCTATTAATGCTAACTATTGTGATGTACTTGTAAGTTTGCCTTCCATTGTAGCGAGTCAAGGACAATAATTAAACTGGTCACATTTTAAAGTCTACGCTACGCTACGGTACGGCCATTGGGTTCTGTTGGGTTCCGAAGCCAATAAAAGGAGATGTTGGTTTCGTGCCTCATTTAAATTTTAAGGTCCATATACTCGTCAAACAAAACATTGAAGATTAGACAGAAAAAAATGACATGAACGATAATACAACAGGGATTTTTTTAAACAAGGGAACAGGGGCGTAGCGCCCCCATGCCATGGTCATGCGCCCGTTTACCCGGGGAGTAGATCCTCTGGCAACCATAAAGTTCTGATTGACCAGGGATCATGGCCACAGTCTTCAACTGTGACCTGTCTGATAGTAATTTTGGCCCCAAGGAAGCCATAGAATGCTCCATTTTAACTTAGAATTATCAAAAACACCACACCCTGGTAGGGAGAACCCTATCTCCCCCACTTGGCGGTGCCGCTGAATTGCAATGCTCCCTCTTGCAGTTTTTTTTTCTAGAAAAAACCCTGATACAATGTATTCCTGGTTCGCAATAATAGAATACGGATAATGTGGAAGCTGCATGGTTGATCCGCCGGTACGTGCGGGGTGGGGGTGTCTGCATATGTCAAACAACCGAATTGTCTGAATCGGGGGAACCGTTGAATCTTATCATTCCCCAGAGAAGGCGTATGATCATTAGCACAGGTTTAACCACTGGTTTGTACTTAGATATCGCCTCGAGATTTGTTCTTCCCAATTACAGTCGTTAGAGTATATACCCGTCAATACTGTACCCATTGGCGGTTATTTTATGCAGTATCAAATTAAAATCTGAATAACCAAACATTTTCTGGGGGAAAGGGGCAAATTATATATTCTACCTACTAATAACTGATCGAGTTAAAGCGAACAAAAAAAATCATGAACGAGATTATGAGATATCCACTATGTATGCAGGGTAATGGATGGACGTCTGTTGACATTATTTGTTTTTATTAAAACATATTTTTATACGAGCACATCGAGCTTGCCATATGGAAATTACCTTTATCAGTTTGTTTTCCGTAAAAGCCGTAAATTTCGTCGATTCGCATTAAATAGACTGACTACCATGGCGCATGAAAGCTGATCAGTGAAGAAAGATAATTTGATCTCCGTCGTTTTGGTTAACTGAATCCGTAATTTGTAACTCATCGCTTTCACCCTTTATTAAAATCGGATCCGATGAGTGGTGTTATGCTGCGAGGATAGTCAATAGGATCACGTTCTGTATATGTGTGTTCGATTCGCCAGGAACTGAAATCATTAAAGTGTACCGATAGAATAACAGACGCTCCGACTTACAGTACATTGGGCGCGACCACACTCCAACGTTTCATGTTTTCTGATAACACAAAATGAAGTGGTGTTGTATGTTTTCTCAGCCACGGTGTTGCACAGTCCTTGATAATTGAACGGTAGAGAGAGGTCTCGCCGCTTGTGTGAACTTCAAATATGAGAAGTCTAAATTTTATTAAAAATGACTAGATGGTTTCGTAATTATCACCCTGGAACACGCTGTATGCAATTTCTGTGGTCTGATATTTCAAAAAATAATCTCAGGCAACTTATAAAAAATGAACTCAGTGGTGCCTTTAAGATGCGTAAACGGCTAATAAAAATAGACTCATAGCATTTATTCATAATATCCAGTCGATCAATTAATTTTATCAGCGCTGTGTCGATGCCCGCACGGCTGTTGGCTCTAACCGCTAGTGTATCTGGATAAAATGCGTAGGCGATTATAGGACGTGATCGACCACCGACTTTACTCAGAGACGTTCATCTGTAACAGTGGGACGAGCAAGGGATTATTCGGAGCGCAGACGCCACGCGAACATCGCGGGTGACCATTAGGTCACGGTGGTTGAAACGGATAGGTGGCATGATCAAGTTTATTGATCGAGTTTGAACCGGCGAGAAAGCGCTCACAGTCAGATAATAAAAATCACCAATGGTTACACAAGAACGCAATCACGCGTGTCTCGGGTTATTTTATAATTATGTTGTCCATCCAATGAAATTGCGTCTGCGCAAATCTCGGCACTTTCTATAGGGCGACAAACGCGATTTCGTCTTGCCATATAAATAAAAGGATCTTTGAGTCTGATTTGAGTAATAACGAGTCTGTGGCACATGGCAGTGACTTCAATTTCCTTGATACTAATGCAGTATAAAATACGATAAACGCGCGGAAATAAATCATTTTGTGCGTGTCAGTATGATTGGACGTGATATATTTTGTCGAAAGTCATCATCCAATCAGATAGTTTGTTCTTTATAGTTTGTTGCTGTGCGTGCTATAATAACTCGAACAC